AATATCTGAATGTGACAGAAAGTGATCTCTGACTACCCCTCATCTAATGGTATCTGTTATTTTTTTTTTATTTATTTATTTAGAATATAATGTCAAATGAAGACGAATGTAATGGACACATACAATGCAGTTCATTTATATTTCTTTTTATTGTTATTTTTAATAAGGAGTTTCGCGACTGACTCTTGGCCACAGCAGAATATCAGTGTTTTACTCTTTTAAGGGCAAAGCAATAAACTGAGTTGTGACCATTTTGTGTTACTATGGCACACGCATGAAGGAAGGAAAAGAAAGGAGATTGTTAGTTTATATATTTTGATTTCTTTTGGTTTTTTATTTGTGCTTTTTTATTTTCATTCTTTTATCTCTTTTGCTGTGTATTATGTGTATGTTTTTTTTTTATTTATTGTAATTTGTGTGCTGTAAGTAATGTAAATAAATTATCTATCTATCTATCATATTAGACATTAGTTTTGAATTATTTTGATTGCATGTTTATTTGACCATCACAATTCGTGGAAGTAAACAGGAAAATATTTGTCTCAGCACATTCAAATTACTTTCAAATGCCTTACTCAATATCGCTCTTCATTTATGACGACTCCGAGTTTATGAATATCAGCAAAGATCAATAAATTATAACGTTTGTAAAATAATTTAATTCGATTTGTATTTGGCTTATCTGTGGCCATTTTATTTAGGTTAAGGTTATTTTTTTAGATTTGCATATTACTTAGCTTGTGTAGGCCAATATCTATTTTGTACATAGTTTATATAAGTGTCTCTTCATCTATTTTTACCAAATTCATATATTCTATATGTAAAAAAGTTCAGTTATTAAAATGTAAATACATATGTATAAGACTGTATTTCATATAATGTCTGTGGCCTTTTCTCTTTTTAACTTCCGACGCAATAAGAAAAGTGTTATAAATTTGACTAGTCCGTATACAGACTGTCTGTGGCATTGCAGCTCCTAAACGAAGGTATTGAATATGATGCGTTTTTTTGTTTGACAATTTATGAAGATCTATTCAGGTATTTCAAGGTCTCCAGCACGGGGGTTACTTAAAGTTTATAATTTGACATTATCAATTTCAATGTATAATGTAGCTGTTGGACTACTGTATGTTTAAAATATTATAGAAAGTAACACGTATTTCATTATCGTGTGATTTTCTTCGTGTGAATTAATATATAAAGTACGCTAAGTGTACAAATACTAGGTTATAGTCGATCTGTGTACTTTATAAATGTCATTTAAATCCATTCAGTCTTTAAAAGGATTGCTCAGATAATGGTAATTTTTTTGTGTATAAAGTTTTCCTTTGTGTAAACCACGTACATGCACAAAAAGTGTGCATTGTAGCATACAAATTTAGGGGCTTTATTATAACCGGACTGAAATTTATGCTGAGGATTGCCTCTCGTCAGACTTACATAGATGCCTGGGTAGACGAGAAAAATATAAAGGGAAATTTTAAATAATATGTGTCTTAATTCTGCAGTAAATAGGTGTCATTGAGTAGTAAATGTCCAAACGTACAACCTTTTATATTTACGTATAATATAAATAGGAGGCCAACCCGCCTGTCAAGCGTGGTAACTACTGGCAAAACTCCCCTAGTGGGGAAGGTTTATGTCCAGCAGTGGACAGCTAACGGATGAAATAATAATAGTAATTAAGAGGAATTAGTAATACCAAAGAATACTAGAGAGAGATTTTCAAAAGTCGTTTGTTTAGGTACTTCTGTTCTATTCGTGTTTTCGCGTTGAAAAAATTATACTTATATAATTGTTTCGATTTGAAGTTATATGGCAATCAAATTATAAGGTACGGACGTATAATCTTGTAGTTCCCAGGAATAACAACGCATGAAGTGTACCATAGTCAGCACAGTATTTATAGTGCTCAAGAATAATAACACATGAGGTGTATACCATGGTCAGCACAGTATTATGTGATGTCTAAAATGCCTATAGACGATTATCTTTCATCAGGCGGGTCATCAAGTTGTTTGCCATTCTAAGTTGCATAAAAATACAATTCGTTTAATCTAATAATTTTATTACGGCACCTAACTGATTACAGATGCAATCTCTTATCGAGTCTATCGATTCATCTTATAAGTACCTACCCGCAGATATTTCAAATTCCGAATCGATTCTATTCAACCTCGAAGTGATAAGAATCTCAAATAGCTCCCATTTCCATAGTTTACTCAGTATAAACCATGGGCTTGTGTGAATTTTCGTTTTATTTGATAAATATTCGCGCGAATTCGTTCAATATATATTATTAACATAAAAAGGATGAGACAACGTGCGGGTTCTGTTTTTACGTGATAAGAAATTTGAGTAATTCTGTTTTGATATGACAAAATGAGTATGTAAAATACAATTTTATCCCTGATTTATATATGCATATATATATATATATATATATATATATATATATATATATATATACTAATATCAAATATGTTATTTTGTAGACTTGTTTGTAGGTTTTAATGTTACAATTTCTTACATGATTGGATGTAAAAGAAAGGGTATGGGGTAAAGTGAAAGTCGTTTTTGACTTATAATTTAAATGCCCTTAATTTTGAATTAAATTACTTATTGATATTTTGATACAATGTAATATATCTTCAGATGAAGTCCCTTGTAAAATAGACAGAAATAACTAAGATAAAATATATGGATAATATATTATATAAAATGAGCTGGTTTACATAAATCATATATTGAAAAAGACACCAACATCATCTATCATTCTTTAACATTCGTTTAGTAATAAATATTGACATCAAAATATAAAAATTTTAATATTAGTAGATGTGTGTATATTTATTTATATATATTATTGCTCACGCTAATGTGTGTTTCACAGATAAATACTAGTTGAAAAAGAGTGTACAAATTTCTTTTAGCAAACCCAAAGTGAAAAGAAGCATTAATATCAGCGGTAGTACAGTGACAATTTACAAATGAAATAATAAACTAGACATTTTAGTTTATACTTCTCAGCCATTTGGCAAAGTTCAAAGTGTTTATATATAGCCATATATAAATATTGTAATTTAACTAACAATGAGGAAATAATTTAAGATTTTGTTCCTCACCAAAACACTCAAATAAATTGAACAATACCAGTTATTTTGTTTTGAAAACTAAACTACTGCAGCGATTTTAATAAAATTTCTATGAAACCAATTTGAAAGTATATCCGAATAAATATATGAGATAAAAAATAATTTTTCCAAATCGGTTTATAAATGACCGAGTTACGTGGTAATCAACATAAAAAATACAACCGAATTGAAAATTTCCTCCTTTTTTGAAATCAATTTTGTGTACAGACACCTACATTATATAAAAAAATCCATTACCTCAGCACCAAATTTAGGGACTTATGGCAAAAGTATATTCTACTATTTCGTATACAGATTGGTCATATCCCTGAATTAATACATACGACAGCGGCTTTGTTACAGCTAGTCACATGCCTTATATAATATCTTTGGGTACGTAGGGGATTTTGGGATCAGGGATATTGCACGGGTAACGTAGGTGGCCGTTTTACATGTATACTCGTAGAGTAACGACCACAGAATCTTGTAAAGCTTTTGTAAAGTACTTCATATGCGTGAATTTTTCTAAATTGCGAATCAAGATAAATTATATACCAGATTTTAAGATCGATTTTCAGAAACACAATTATAAAAACCGCATCCAATTTACAGATAGACAAAAATTCTTAAAAATATTGATTTCTATTGCTTTTATTAAGTCTATTCATATCTTCTTTTTTTTTAAATACTTCCTATGTAAAGAAATCGTCTAGTATAATTATAATATATGATAGTCTATTTATTATAGTAAATTATTAGCAATTATGTTTGATTGACGATGGGGAAGATAGATTCTTGAGTGGTATCCTAGTAAAAGCAAACAAGTTGGACCACCAAACGTTAGATTAAGTGACAATATCAAGTGTGTTGCGGAGAGTAAGTGGTTACAGGTGGCTTAGAAACGTTACTTATGATAATGTACAAAGAGTCTCCCACTTTAGCAGAGGACGATTAATGGCCAAAAGGATGATGATAGTGTTGGTGCTGAATTTAAATAGAGAGTGTTATGTGTTTGAAGCCACAGAGATAAATAAACATCTTTAATAATTTCCAGCTAGACGCTTATCTCAATAGTTATCTTATGATTGAATACTTATTGAGGTAAACGACCTAGCTTTTAAAATCCTTCATCTGTCTATAATTCACAAGAGGTAAATAACTTATATGAGATATTTATTATTTATTTACTAGTCTAGAGAAAATATATACTGTGTAAATAAATCTGAAAGTGGGTCGAATCGAGCTTATTTGGAAAGCAGAACCTAGCTGATAAAATCTTTTCCATACTTTTTTATCGTATTCTTTACATATCTATCAATTCCAATACCTAATGGTAAAGGGAAAGATCTATTTACTGATAAATTTTGGTGAGGGAAATGGACTTGGGAATTCTGTTTGTCGATAGAGTATAGCAAAACGTGAGGGGTGTAGGTAAACATATTAGGTATGTCACCCTTGACATTTTCCAGGACTATCGATTGTTAATTTTCGGTTTGAAGGTTTACAAACTTTCATTTAACTGAAGTACCATACAAATATTTATATAGCAACAAAATTAATACGCATAATATTACGGCGAAATTGGTTTTCTGGGATTGCAACTCATGAGGGGTTGGTATAAGGGATGTCAAATGTATTTATGGATGTTCATGATATTCTTTATATTTATAAGCGATTACTTTTATTATCAGATAGGTAGTTGGCTTGTTTACTAAGTAAAAAGAGGAATAATCAGGCCACTACAGAATCGTGGCAACCCCATCAATACCTTGAACGCGTTGTTATATTGGATACAGGGGCCGCTGTAGGGCTTTTAAGTATATATACCCAACACATGTATATATTTAAAAATATAACATTTTGCAGGCTGTTACTCGCAAGTTCGTGCATGAGGACAGTGGTGGAGTTACCGCACTATGTGGTGCTGTAGAGGCCTGCCTTGGACAAGGGCTGAGGAGGCGTGCTCTCGGGCTGTTCAAAACCAGCTCAACGACTGCCCTCCTTCATAAAATCGCCAAGGTAGGTTTTAATAGATAATAAAGTATCACAGGAAAGAGATTTTATATAAAAGTGGTTTGCTACGGTTTTCACTTTACAGGCATCCATGGATTATGGTAACCGTGTACTGCTCAGGCGGGTTTGTTTGCCACCTTTGTGGAATAAAAAATACACATATACTCATAAACATATAACAATGTTGAAAGTGATGAGAGAATGTGCTTAAAAAGAGATAATTCAATTTTATCGCGTGTGAATTGTGTATTAATTGAAATTCCCTGAAATATTTAAAATTTAATGACATTTAATTAAAATATCAGGTAACAATTTAATAAACATATAGGTTTAAATTGTTTTAATCTAATGGAAGTGTTTTATTGCATTAACAACACGTTGCTTTGCGTAAATTAGATTTTCGGTTGGGTTAATTTATCCATTTATTATTTAAGGAAAATATACAGCTTTTCCATTACATGACATGACAAAATTGAATGTTAGATATTACATCACCAAACGTTACAAAGGTAACTACGGTGAAAATATCATAGGAACACTGTAAAGGATATTATTACCAAATTGAAATATTCAATTAATTAATTAATAATTACTATTGGATATCAGCACACTATTTAATGGTTGGGTTACTTATAAATTTGTTCAATTAAATTTTCAGGTTATATTATATTTTTCATATTATAGATAGGTGCACTAACATGTAATAAAAAAATGATATGAATGATTAAAATGTAATAAAAGAATGATAATAGTCGTATGGTCCCGGCAAAGAATAGACCATCCCTTCCTTTCCCGTATGAAGCGACAAAGGTAGGGCGAGTGATGTTTATTTATTTATTTATTTAAGGCAAACAAACAGCTAAAATAATACATAATTATATACTTAAATAGTAATTTGGACACTAGAATTTGCACAAAATAAAATACAAGTAAACGAAACACAAAATTAGACAATACTAAAATTAAACAAATATGAACAAAATTAAACAAACAAATACTATTGAAAACCACAGCAACATGTTCAGCAGTGGACAGTTAAAGGCTAATATGATGATGATGATGAAAAGAATGGTAGATAGCTATGTGCTTGCTACGTGATGCCTATTAAAAAAACTGACAACTAATATATGCTGCTTTTGTAGCGCAATTAGTAACGTACTCAACAGCATTATCACCATTGGATGATAATATTTCTAAGTCGAATTGAATCTATACTGTAGCCCATATTTTTAATATCTCACAGTACAGTGTTTTATACAATAGTCCATCGAGGAATAATGTTACTAACTCAAATTTGTAAATTATAACTACATAATCTAATGAGAAGTAAGTAAGTATAACATTTTACTACTTATAAGTAAACAATGAATAATTGAAATAATGATAGCGACTCACGATGTAATTGTTATTATAATTATAAATGTAGAAAATATAATAATAAAATGGTTGTTAAAGTACTTGGAATTATAAATCGATCACTAAGTTTGTAAAATGAAACAACAAAGTAAAAACATGGTTAAAGGTTCGCTGGAGAGAGACTAACCTTGCTAAAGGAAAACAATGTTCTACTATTACTTTTTTCTTTGAAATTCATTAATTATTCCATAAAGTTTGGATACGTTAGAAATATAATAATTATCATCTCATTGAATTAATTAGTCCTGAAGATCTCAAGAGCATAGAAATGAGGGCTGGGGCAGACGCAAAATAGAAGATGTTAAAAGAAAAAGAAAATATATTTTTTTTTTAATCTGAATAACTAAGGAAATCTAAACTAGATATTAATCTGAGAAGAAAATTAAAATAAAATTTGTTAGCGGTTTTTGTTGATTTTTTAATCCTCTCAGCTTTTGTAACATTAAAAGGCATGTCGCTAGCACCAATGGCAGGAGGGCATTAAACGGCGTCAATATCCTGGAAAATGAAATTACTACATTTATACTGAATTGCAATGATTTATTAATCTATATTACCGTTTGCTGTCATGACTCTAGGTTCGCAAGGAGTATTAAAAAATATTCGACGTCGCTAAAGACAAACGAGCTCGCTTCTCGTTAAAATTGGTTCATAAATAATGTATATGTTACAGTGAAAGCTCAACGTTTGGGTAAACCTAATTTTCGAATAAATGTAGGATTTAGTAATTGTTGGTAGATTCGTTATGGTTCGAAGCAAAATACGGCTTTCGAGTACTTACAATATCTTTATGGAGAATTTAATAAAAAGTACGGAAAAAACAATAGAAGTACAAAACTACTATGACGCCATTACAGAATTGAGAGAGAGAAAATATACATAAATGTAGCCAACATACTAATAATAATTTTATATTGCCAACATAATAGTAATCGCCATCTAACTTATTTATATATTATTTCTTTAAAAGCAACAGAAGTAGCGAAGAATACTAAATCAGTAGAACATGGCCGTAAAAATATTAAGTACCTAACTCAATACCTATTGTATGAGTTGTGAAGCTTTTCTTGTAGTAGAACGAGACCTTCAAGAGCTTTCTATTGTAGACGAGAGGCATGCATTTAATAAAACATAAGTGTTATTTAATGCTGTTTTTACTAATGCTCTAAATTTTTTAACATATATATTTATAACTCATAAATCACCGTATTGAAGCTTCGTATCGTATATACTTGTAATTTAGTAGAAATCCAAGTAGGCTGTTACTAACTTATTTGGGGCAAATAATTTATAAGCGAAGTACAAGAAAATATATTGAAATCTATGGCTACAGTCTCAGGAATATACATTTTTAAGCTATTTCGAAAAGGCAAAGGTTCTTAATACTTCTGTATTTTTATTTCAGTGTAACAAGATCTTCAGAGAATTAAAAAATCAGTAATTCTGCCCTGATATTGATTTTGGTCCAATATTAATTTGTTGATGATTGAAAGCTCCGTTTTTCTTTGCGAAACAATATCCATTTTCAAATAAATCAACCATTTCATTTCAATGAAACCAAATATTTCCTTGTGCAGTGCGACCATGATTTTTTAACCAAAATTTATCATTTTTCCATTAGACTTTTCAAATATTTTCTTTCCTTCAAACATCATCCTAACAAATAAAATGCAATGAAAAAGAATAAGTCAAATAAATGCGTTTACATACATTAGGCGATTCATTTTTACTTACACGAGTCTAGATATAATGTCTCCACGCAACATCTCGACGTCTCAGTATGTATTTATTTTAAGACGATTGAAGTCGCTATGTTTTCCAGAGCAAATAATTTTTACTTGTTGAACATTAATATGTATATCATATCTAGTGGCGTGAGTCAGAATCGTAACATATTTTGACCTGATTAAAAATTTGTTTCTTTTCTTTCTTCATATGTACTTACGTAAGTGTTTGGCAATAAAGTATTTTTGATAATTTCAACTAGCAACAAGAAGCAATTCGTTTCTATGCGAAGTCGCTAGTTAAAGCATTAAATAACATTTTATATACTGTTATATATATAACAGTATATATTCACAATTTGTATATATGTATATTACAAATTGTGAAAATATATGTAAGTAAAATGCATAATATGTCTGTATTATAAAAAAATGAAAAAAAATCAATAAACTATAGTCAGCTAACGCCTTTAAGCAGTTATCAACACTGCACATATAAATGGCTACATGCACACGCTTTCAAACTCCCGCTGTGCTACCAATAAAACATTCAGGTTTTTTCTAACAAAGTAACGTAAGCACGCAAATACCTATTCGTATTGTGTTGACATACTACGAGGAAATTGTTTTTTTTCTAATATATTTTAGTATGTAATTATATAGATGATGAGTGGATGAATGTGTGATAAATGACGGTCACGAATTTTATTAGACAAGTTTTTATGATAGGTTGACCCCTGAAATATAGATAAATATATAATTATTTATTTTTACACCAAGTCTATTAAATGTATTAATATTATAAATGCGAAAATGTATTAATATGCGAAAATTTGTAAAGATAGATGAATGGATGAATGTTTGTTACTCCTTCTCGCAAAAACTATTGAACGAATTCAAATGAATGTTGGCATAGAATATTTTATATAGTGATTCACGTGAACAAAGCCGTGGAATATAGCTAGTTGTATATACATAGGATAGTAATACTTATTATGAAGAAAATAGAATATAATAGGTAATAATAGTATAATCTATCAAGTCTAACATGACGATAATGATGAATTAAAATACTGGAATACGACAAATTATAAGCGTATAATTTGAATGAGCATCTCGAAATTGCATACATATAAAAAGTCGGTGTTCGCGTCTCTTTCTCTGCTTACTTAATTTCATAATGGATTTCAGAACGAACTGTTCTAAACTGTTCCAAATTTTAAATCAATAGTATCAGTGTTTTTGTTTTTTTTTTTTATATACCACTAAGGTGGTAATCTGAGGTAAGGTGTGAGGTGGAAGTGTAGTGCAATATGTAGCGCTGTGATAGATGGACGGACGGATGAAGTCGCATCATACGGGTTCGATTGATACGGGACCCTAAAATGTTATGTACCTCTAGCGTAATAAAATAAAATCAAGATTTTATGTGTAAAGAAAAATTATGGGCAATTTAGTCTTGATCTAATATCAAATAAATTTTAGAGAAAAAAGAAATTCGGTAATGTAAATTTCCAAATTAATCCTTTTTGTAGATAATTCAATATGTTCCTTTGCTGCCCAACTATCTACAAATTACAATTTATAGGGTTTTCTTCGATTTAACGAGCCTGTTTTTTTTTTGATGAAATTATTGGCCTTTTTTTATAATTTGCGGTACAGTATTCAAGGTATCCCGTCTTCGCTATTGGATATAGGTGATGGGATACCTATAATAGTGGGTACATGTAGTGTTAATTAGTAATTCAAACGCGATATTTGAGGAAAAAAGTTACTGTTCTTGAAGATGTATTCTTCATGTTATGGCCTAAAAATACACTTTATTAACACTGTGAAAAAAAAGACGAGAGGGCTTTCTTCAACAGT